GAGAGACTAGTTAATTCCAGTAAGTGAATGCTATGCTGTGAGAGACTATAAGTCCTGTAAATGACTACTAATATGCTGTGAGACTAGTTAATTCCAGTAAGTGACTGATATGCTGCGAGAGATTAGTCAAGTCCTGTAAGTGATTGATATGCTGTTAGAGCCTCGCTTAATCCTGTAAATGGCTAGTGATATAATGTGAAAGACTAGTTAAGTCCTGTAAATGACTAGTTACATGCTGTGAGAGACTAGTTACATCCAGTAAGTGACTAGTTAATTCTTATTAATGACTAGTTATGTGCTTTGTAAGTGAATGCTATGCTGTGAGAGACTATAAGTCCTGTAAATGACTAGTAATATGCTGTGAGACTAGTTGAATCCAGTGAGTGACTGATATGCTGTGAAAGACTAATTAAGTCCTGTAAGTGATTAATATGCTGTGAGAGACTAGCTAAATCCTGTAAATGACTAGTGATATACTGTGAGAGACTAGTTAAGTCCTCTAAATGACTAATGCTGTGCTGTGAGAGACTAATTAAGAGACTAGTTCAGTCCTGTAAGTGACTAGTGTCATCCTGTGACAGACTAGTCATGTGGCACTATTTTTTAATATTTGCATTCGTATTAACTCCACTAGCGAGTATACTCTTGTTTTCATGAGCAGGGTCTCGACTCTGAAAGTGCAGTAGACTGTGTAGTGTGAATGTGTTCTTGCCTGGCTGGCGTGTGAAGGTCTCCTTCCCTCGCTGTGCTGTATTTGGGATTAGTATTGGGGGTTGAGTCTATTGTAGACACTTCTTTTAAAGAAGTCATGTGAATTCCAGGATCCCCCTCATTTCCCCGAGCACTTGATGTCACATTTGCATGCGTGATTTGACATGAACTATAAGCTCAGTCAGGACATCGAGCCAGTTTCACCCCGTTTCCACATTGACTCCCATTAGTCTATGCAAATGTCCTCGAGATGCAGTGTTGTAATTGCCACACCACTCTTGACACCTCAGTGGCACGATCTGAGTCAGTTTGACTGAGCAAATAATGTAAGTGTCAACTTTTCTATGTACATTTTTTTATAACACTTTAGACCAAAACTAACATTGACATGAGAAATATCCCAATGCTGCTTGTAAAAGCTTTGTTACTGTTATTTATTTATTTATTTATTTTATTATGTTATTGCTTAATTTTATTTTAAGAGTAGTTTTTAATAAAAACAACAGTTAAAAATAATTAAAAAAATAAAAGTTTTGTTGCACTTTTTTTGCATTGAATAAAGGGGAGAAAGATTTTTCTATTTTTTCATAAACTTTATTCTAGTAGTTTTACCTTGTTTTACCTTTTAAAATAATTATAATGACAAATATTATCTTATAAAGCATATTAATATAATCTTTCTTTTATTTAAAACTTTATTTTGTGCCATTTAATTTCCATTTTATTGTAAAGAATCATTGTAATAACTTTTTTATAATATTTCCAACCATTTTTTTCAGTTTGTTTATGCAATATGACATTTAAAATTAATTAAATTTAACATGCAATCTTTATTTCAGTGAAACGCATTAAAATGGATATCCTGGATGTTGTCAAAATTTAGTAAAAAGTGGATATAAGTATTGTGCAAAGCATAAACATTGGCACTTCTGTTGCCCATGAACTCAAACAGTCATATATACACAATTACATGCACCATTTCCAACTTCAAACCATCAATATTTCACACTAAAAAGCACATATTTGTTATCATCCACAAAAGCATTCCCTGGTTATGATCACTACAGAGTTAAATACTCAGAGACAGCTTAACTGTGCAGTCAGATGAAAGAGCGTTAAGCCTACAGGACGCAAAAGCAAACAGAGCTCGTTAAAAGTGCTTAACGCGGATTCCAGCCTCATACACCGTCCAGTGACTCAGGCCTGCTCTCATGGCAACGCGAAACAATGAAGCCCACCCCCCAAACTTTGTTCGATTCAGACAGAGGGCCTGAGAGTGATGAAGGAGAGGAAAAAAAAAATGCGTAACCTCCCCCAAACTCCTGTCTGTACCAAACACCAGTCAAATGCACTCCAGACAGGAGGAGACGACAGTAACACTCCACTGCATCTCAGAGAAAAGCAGATAACATGACCACAACACTATAGTAATGCTTAAAACATCCACTGACTCATTCAAACTAATGTAAAAGATTTGGCATGTGATCTTAAATAGATAGTTCAGCCAAAACAAATAAATAAATATAAATCTTTTTTTTTTTTTGTCGTGTTTTTAAATTATTATTATTTTTTCAGTTCATTTAGGATTTAAATATATAATTATGTATGTTTTTATATTATAATATGTTTTTTTTTAAATTTCAACAGTTTCAAAATGTTTATGGATATAGATTTTAAAGGGTTTTATGGTCATTTCTATGTTTATAATATATCTAAATAGATTTATTAACTATTATTATTAATTTTGTACTTCTGATGTGTGGTTGTCAACTTACTGAGCCTACACACAAGAGTTGGAGAAAAATACTAATTTTAGAAGAAAATATCAAATGGCTTTTAGAAGTTTTTTGCATCTAAACTCTTCATATATTTTATTTGAGTACAGGATTTAATAATTGCATTCAATTTTAAAGTTTAATATTTTTGTAAAATATTATATAAAAAAATGTATAAATTAACAATGAAATGATTTTATAAAAATATAAAACAATTAAAAAAAAAATATATATATATATATATAAATATATATATATATATATATATATATATATATATATATATATATATATTACAATTAATTTGTTATGAAAAATCTGTCATTTTTTTACAATATTTATTTCTAAGTTAATTTAACCCAATTTTGTGTGAAGTATAGACAAACCCAACTGTTGGGGTAAATTTCTAAATTAAATTTGGTTAGGTTTGTCCATACCTATTTTAACCAGCAGGTGTTTGGTTGCACACATTTTCTAAAATATATTCTTTTGTGATCAGCAGAGGAAAGAAATTAATTCAAATCTGGGACAAATTTGAATAAATAACGGTTTCATTTTCATTTCTGAATGAACTTGTGGTGAAAAAGTGATAATAACAAGAACCATGTTATTCGCCAAAATCATTTAAAGAGTGAAGAAGATTTGAACATCTACATAGAGATTTTTTTCTCCTTTATAAAGGACCTTTAATGTAATGTAAACATTACATGTATTGTTTTCATGGGTGTCGATAACAAACATTTAATTTTAACAAAATATAAGACACAATATTTCATAAACACTAAAACAAAAACCTTTCCCAGAGAAGGGTTGCGGCTGGAAGGGCATCCGCTGTGTAAAAACTTGCTGGATAAGTTGGCGGTTCATTCCGCTGTGGTAACCCCAGATTAATAAAGGGACTAAGCTGACAAGAAAATGAATGAATGAATAAAACAAAAACCTACACTGTACAAAAATATATGATCAATTAGTCCCGACAGCAAATGTTTTAGTCCATTATAAATGATTAAACTAAGGTAATCATGTTCAAACTTAGCTTTATGAGTTGCGCCCTCTGTTTTAAGTCAGTTTCACATAATATAAGTTCAATGAACTCATAAGGTTAATTTAATTCAGCTTTAAAATTTAAGGCAAAAATTATTTTTTTTACAGTGTACATATATAATTTCATATATAAGGAGGACATATGTTTTGAATTTATTGTAACTTATTAAACTAAGTTAATCATGTACTAACTTAATTTTAAAAGTTTTAACTTAATTTAAAGTCAGTTTAACATAAGATAAGTTCAATGGACACATAAGGTTAATTTGATTCAGCTTAAAAAATCAAGGCAGCCAGTGTTTTTTTTAAAGTGTAGGGTTTGACAGTTTTTATAATTTATTTTTATATCGTCTTCTGGAAACATTTAGCTAAAATATAAATAGTTATGGTTGCTAGGGTGTTTTGAGTGGTTGTTAGGTTGCATTTTTCTTTATTCATAGTTATATAAGTCAAAAGAAAAATACCTGATTTATACTTTTTCAATAATTGTTGAATATATTAGTATTAGCATTAAACATATCTGAACAAGTACAGACAAAGTGCTTAGTATGTATGAGTACACCCCCCACAAATCTCTCATTTAAATTAATATTTTCTTGAGGATGCATTAAAATACGATATTTGTATAATATATAAATATATACATTAGTTTAGTCAGCACTGAAGCCAAATCTTGAGCTAATCTTACAAAATAACTTTTAATAATGGTTTAAAAATTAGTAGCCCAAATGTATATGTTAGGAAAAACATTAAATAAACTTTTCAAAAATAGCAAAAATCAAGAGAAACAAAAATGTATACAATTTTGTTGAAATTTTGTAGTTTGTTATATTTTTTGCATGATTTTAAATGCATTATCTTTCCATTCCTAAATATGTTCTGTGACTAAAATGTTATTTTAATAAATATTATCTGTTTAATAATCAGGTTTGTTCAAATGCACCAATATATATTACCCATATTCACTGAGAAATGGATAAAAATATTATTTTTTATAATGGGGTGTACTCATATATGCCGAGCACTATATTAGTATTAGCATTATACATCTAAACAAGTACAGATATGTAAAACACAAAGTTATCTGAAACATTAAAGTAGACCCTTGCTTATATTTTAGAATGCTTTTTATTTTTATAAAAGAATTTTTGTACATTTTAAAATCAGTGAAGCCTGTTGCTCAAACTAAACCATCTGAAAAAACTTGCCTTTCTCAAAATAAAACAACCAAATATTATCAGAACATCAGATTCCAACCATTTCTGACCACAATATCCTATAAAAATGTTCTCTGCAGCTTTAAATATATGCTCATCCTGATCTTTCTTTCATTGTTTAGGATAACCACATGGAAAAGATTACCTTCATGCTCTATTATTTTACTCTGAGTTACTATGATTGTAGAATTTTATACATCCTGTCTCCTGTGTTGTTTCTGTAGGTATTGAGAAAGAGAAAGAATAAACTCACCCCATTTGAACATCATCATGGTCAGTAAAACCGTCCCGGGACCCTTCAGATGCACTTTCCTGATCTCCATGGTGACGTGAAACAAACTAAATATTCCCAACTCGACTTCCTTTAAGCTTTAACCTCTCTGGGAGTACTTCATAGTGGATCAGACATCAAATAAAACCATCAGATGTCCGAATTCCTGCTTGATCCTGTAATTCCAGCAAGCGCGAGGGTGTGTGTGTGTGGATCAGATGAGGTTCCTCTGTCCAGCATCAGAGTGTTCAGTGGCTCATTGTACATGCAGTAATGAGACTAACTCTTGCAGCCAATCATGATGGGGTTTACCACACTAATCACCCTGAGAGGGAGGAGCCGGAAAACCAGAAGTGGACTTCAGCACCAGGACTCAAGTGTGAGTGTTTACTACAAAAGATCAGACAAAATATCCCACTGTGAACATCCAGGGATTTCTTCAAGTGTAAAAGTTATCCATAAAGTTAGAAATGTTTTAATAACAATGACAGCTTAATGAAAACACAAGATAAAACAACACTTGTACATGACATATTGTTTTAATTATAATTGTAATTCTGTTACAGTTTTATTAATCCAATAATATTATATATAATTGTTATAATAATTAGAATATTCAGATCAAATGTTTTTAATTTCTTTAACATCTGTAAGGTTTGTTTTAATCCTAATGAAATTTATAATTAATTCAGTTTTTTTTATTTATTTTCTATTCTAGTTTTATTTATTGTTTTATAATTGTATGCTTTTTAAGTTTAAGCTTTTTTTTGGTTACATTTTACATATATGTTTGAAGTTTAATTATTTTAATATTTCTTTTCTGTGTGGTTTTCAAAACGGTTACCTGTTGCTTTATGTGCGTGTTATAGTTTTTATATTTAACATTCTACTTTATTTGTAGTTTTATTGTCACTTTTTTGCATTACTTTACAATCATGCTTTATAATCAAGTCCTCAACAACCACATTTTTTCGATGCTTTTGCAGGTAAGCAGGAGAAAATGAACACTCAGGTAAGTTCAAAATGTGCATTTCATATATATAATGTTGAACATACAGTTGAAGTTAAAATTATGAGCTCCCCTGTTTATTTTTTCTCCAATTTCTGTTTAACGGAGAGACGATTTTTTCAACACATTTCTAAACATAATAGTTTTAATAACTCAATTCTTGTAACTGATTTATTTTATCTTTGCCATGATGACAGTAAATAATATTTGACTAGATATTTTTCAAGACACTTCTATACAGCTTAAAGTGACAATTAAGGCTTAACTAGGTTTATTAGGTTAACTAGGCATTATAGGTTAATTAGGCAAGTTATTATATAATGATGGTTTATTTTGAAGACAGTCAGAAAAGCAATTAGCTTAAAATGGTGTTTAAAAATGTTAAATCTGCTTTTATTCTAGCCAAAACAAAACAAATAAGACTTTCTCCAAAAGAAAAAAATATTATCAGACATACTGTGAAATTTCCTTGCTCTGTTAAACATCATTTGGGAAATATTTAAAAAAGAAATAAAAAAATCAAAGGGGGGCTAATAATTGTGACTTCAAATATATATATATATATATATATATATATATATATATATATATATATATATATATATATACACACACACACACATATATGTGTATATATATATATATATATATATATATATACATATATATACATATACATACAAATATATATTTTGTTTTATTATTAAGAATGTTTAAATAAAAAAAAAATTCTTTTACACGTCTGTAGGGTTTTACTCTCACTGAAGTTTATTTATAAATATTTTGGTGTTTATCTTAATAAAATGAAGTTTTTAATGTATGCTTTTTGTCACATTTTCGTTACATGTGTAAAGTATAATCATTTTACTTTTCCGTGTGTGTGTGTGTGTGTGTGTGTGTGTGTGTGTGTGTGTGTGTGTGTGTGTGTGTGTGTGTGTGTGTGTGTGTGTGTGTGTGTGTGTGCGTGCGTGGGTGCGTGCGTGGGTGCGTGCGTGCATGCGTGCATGCGTGTGTGTGCGTGTCATTGTTTTTATGTTTCAAGTTCTACTTTATTTGTAGTTTTAATGTTACTTTTCCATTATTTTATAATCATGAATAAATATGTGCATTAAAATGTGCATTATATAAATACAAAGAAGGCTTAAATTACACTTCTGTGTTTTTTTTTTTTTACTCCTAATGAATTTTATAATTATGTTATTGTTTATTTTCTTTTCCTAATAAAAGGTATGCTTTTTAATGTTATGCTTTTTTTTTTTTTGCTTTTTGTCACATTTTCCTTACATGTGTAAAGTATAATCATTAAAATGTTTCTTTATGTGTGGTTTCTTTTTATATTTCACATTCTACTTTATATGTAGCTTTAATGCTACTTTCACATTACCTTATTATTATGATTAATAGTTCCTGAATAACCACATTTTTTCTATGCTTTTGCAGGTGGGCAGACAATGAATGGTCACAGGTACAGGTAAGTTCAAAATGTGCACTATATATGTATATTATTATTGATTATTATTTTATGAAGCCTTAATAGGACATTTTCATCATTTTGGTTTTAGTTAACTAATTTTGCTCTATCATTTTATTTCGATTCTATTTGTATTTCAGTTTCAATTCTAGTAACTGCAATATTAATATTCATTTCTTTCACCTAAGATGTTTACCTTTTTTAATTTCTGCTTTTTTATATGTGCCCAAAAACCTTTTTAGCCAGGTCATGTGAGGTTGTGTGTTAGAAAAACATACTACACTAATCACGCTAATGCGAAGTTGGAAATTTGGATTTGCTTTGTGAGAAAACACTGAGCCCAGCTGGAGATTTTCTTTCACAAATCGAGACAATCCAAAAACCTTTCCTAAGTGATTCCCTGCTGCTGTTTTCCACCAGTGTGTATAATGAGCTGCTGAGATCTTTACTCCTGCTGAGTTCAGCAATCACACAGTCCTTTTGCATTAGTCATTAGAGGCTGCGTTTCTTTATACTTACTAAACCAACAACTGCAGTACTTGTTTTTGTGAACTTTGCTGCAACCTGTTGACCAAAAACTAACCTCTGAATCATCATCATATTCTAAAAATAGTCTGTTTTGAATTGAATAAAGCATACACAGACAGAAAGCAGGATGATTAGCTTGTTGTTGTTTTGGGTTTATTTTGCTGGTGAACTGCCAGTTGCTGTGATGTTAAGATGGTTTTGTATGCACTGTGAGAAATTTGTTAATGTTCTGAAACACACTCTGCTAAGCTTCTTACATTAAAGTATTCATTTGGGGAAAAGAATGACTCAACATTTACTCACATTCAAGTGATTCCAAGACTTTACGAGTTTTTCACTGCAAAAATGCTTTTCTTACTTAGTTTTTGTCCTGCACTCTAAAAAATAACTCAAGCGATCTGTTACCACTACAGAGTTTAATACATTGTTGTAACTTAAAAATTCTATATTGCTGATTATATTAAAACTTTTAAATTGCCAGAGTAATTTTATTAAGTTTACACAACAGGAAAATATTGATAATTACATCAACTTAAAAAAGAGGGTAATTTAAAGATAAATATATCTGTCAATTAGTTTAAAACAATATTTAACTTATAACAACCCAAAAAAATTGCGTTGATAACTCAATTTTTCCACACCAATGGAGTTCTGGATTTCAAAGCTCCTCCCTCACTGAACGATAAAGAGGCATGTCCGGACAAGTTTTAAGCAGACCATTTGGCACAAAGGATACTTTAAGGTGAGATATCTGGGTTTTATATCATTTCCAAATCAATATTCTACATTCCATTAGTGTTGGCTACTCCTGGTAAATTATAGTTGATGTTGGCAGTGTTTTTTGACTAGAAAATAGTAGATAAGAAAGTAAAAACACATACGGTAAGCCAGAAAGGCAATTTAGTATATATGTCAAAATAACAAAGTTTATATAGTAGATGCTTTTTTCATATATAGTATTGCTTTATCCTGCATGTTTTATGTTAGTTACCCTAGCAGAAATATATATTCTGGAGCTTGCACACAGTTGTTATCCAACCTGAAATTTGTATTTTATTCCTCCTGTTCTTATGGAAAATATTACATTTATCTACTGATTGCTAAGATTTTCATACAAAGTTCATGCAACTGTATTACAACTTTCTAGGCTGATCTGTATTTTAGATATAAGTAGGCTTGTATATAAAACAGGTTGGGGGTGCAAAATGTGTAAATTTGAAACATCAACATAAATAGTTTTGCTAAAACATTACAGACTACACCATGGTAATTGTGCATGGGCAACCATTTCCTTGCCTCTGTCAAGATTGTTTGTGTTTTTTCAGAACATGGGGCAGCCTTAGATCACATTTATCAAGACATCAAACTTAGAAAACCTCCAGATTTGCAGAAAGTTTTTATTTTACTTGTCCTTGTTGCAATGCCATGACAATTTCCATAGAAATAAAAAAAAAAAAACACGAAACTGTCATCTGTGTATTTCAGAACTGCAATTTCAGAACTAACATGTATGGTACATTTGCTTCCCACAGAAGCCGAAAACATACTCCTCACTCATTGCATGACTTCAAGGCAGACATAATAAAAAGGTATGTATGTTCATTCAATGCAGATCAACACAGTGATGTGGATGGTCAAAGTGGGGAGCTGTCTGATGAAGGTCAAGATGACAATAATGATGTGACAGACCTGCCAAACTGCATAGAAAAAAAAATGGCTTTGTTGTTTCTAAAACTGGAGAGCACTTTTAATGTATCTTACAGGTGTATAGAAGAGGTTGTTAAAGAGTTAAATTTTATATCTTGATCAGCATCTGGACCCATCATCAAAGGTATTTTACAGTCCTGCTTGGGTTGTAAAGCCCATCTTACAGTCCACAAATCTGTCTAATGTAAACCTTTTGCATGAAGTAACAAAAATAAACAATTTTCAAGTTATTGCAGATAAAATGGGCAAGAAATAAGGGATATCTTGGAGCGCTGGCCTGCATTATCAGATGCAACACAGGTAAGTTTAGTTTTATTTTTAGTCTAGTTTCACAATTTTGCGAGAAAATCATCTTCAAGTTATTTATGCTAAAAACTTCTTACAACAATAACATATTACATGTTATTTGTTGTGTTACACATTGTATACAATTATTCCATTATTTAATTATTCTATTTTTTCTACAGATAAATGAAGAATTCAAGAGGATAACCACTGTAGGTCTTGAATCCACATTTATGGCCAAACTTGACAAATGCACCCAAAACTAATGGACCTGGCCTCATCCAGGGGAGGAGCTAAAGGGGAAATAATCGGAAGGATTAAGGATATGCTTCTTGAGGTATTGTAAATAATTTGTACACACTAGAATAGTTTAGATTTGTGTTAAATTGTCAGGTTGCCATCAGTTGTTTGTTCAGATAAAACTATATTCATTTACTGTAGGTACTTTATCTTGATATATATTTTTCTAATTAAACAGAACAATGCAGTTGAAGTATGGAGAGAAGTAGCCATTCACTGTCTTGTTGTCTATCTTGGAGAGAAAGAAGAGGATCTTTTTAAGGAGTTTGCTGTGAGTATTACAATGTTTTAAAATTAAAATTAAAATTAAATCTTCCCTTGACAGTGGAAACATACAAGACAAAATATATGCTCAATGACTGCTCTCTTTTAGTTTAATGTGTAGGTATATTACATTGTCCACACACACTGGGTTTACCTAGGTCTGTGTTATAATAACAATGTACTATTTAGTTCAATAAACAGATGTTGACAATAATGAGAAAGATTTGTAAAATGGGCATGACTGTTGCGTTTCACTTTTCCATTTAAATTACATTGTGAAACGAATTATTCTTATGATTGAGTGGCTGGGTGCATGACCATGTAAGGGGTAAAATAAAACAAAGTTTCCAGAGATTAACTGAAATCAAATGTAAGTAAAATAAAAAACTGAAGTAATTATAAATTTAATTATCTCTATCATGCTAATCTATTTTTTTATCTTGCTTTACAAGAATACACAAGAATCATTGATCATGCTAATCTATTTTTTCATCTTGCTTTACAAGAATACACAAGAATCATTGGTGATCTGTCAACTATGGAATTAAACCACAAGACGGGAACCATCATTGTTGAGGGAATCAGAATCCTGATTGGAATGGATATCTCAAGGTGTTGTGCTCTGCTAACGGGCATAATATATGCTCTGAATCTGAGCTACCCCAAGGAGCTTAAATATACTTGTTAAGTGTTTCAGAAGCTGTTTCTTGAACTTGATGGACTGAAGCCCAGTGCAAAAGTAATGCGTCTCAAGAACAGCATTTTCTGAAGCCTCTACTTATTTCAAAGTACATTTTGCTCTTTATGTTGCAACTATATTGTTTTGTATTTTGAAGTCCACATGCTGATCTTTTTATTTCATTTACATATGTTTGTTTAAAATAATACAAATGTTACATGTTTTACAATTAAGGTTAGCTAATAACAAGTAGTTTGTAAAATGTACAATTTATAAGTTAATAGTTAGCTTTAAGTGTATCAATGCCTATAACTCTTGTTTTGTTGGAATTCATTGTGATGGCATAGCTATGCATGCATGCACATTTTTGAAGGCAAAGCTGACGGGTCAGTTTGTTTATAATTTGTGAGACAGTACACATTTGTGTTTTGTAAACTTTGAGAAGTGCAATATTTAAAATAAAACACTGAAAACTGTGTTTCTAAATAAATAAAAAGTTACTGAAACTAAAATTGCTGTTGTTTAAAAATGTATTTCTTACAAGCACCTAAATTAACAATAATATGAAAACAAACAAAAAATTTAATTTCAGCTACTTAATTTTTTTGAGATTTTAAACTTGAAAACTAGCATGTATAATTATGGTAATTAAGTACATAACACTGGTTTTTGTTTAAATGTTAATAAAAAAGCTAGTTGGAACAACTTAATTTTTTAAGTACTCAACTTAAAAAAATTGAGGTTATGCTATGTAAAAATACCTCTGATTGAAGAGGTAAAGGTAATTTGGCTAACATAATAAAGTTTGCTGTCTGAACTTCATTTTGTTAGATGTTGCCGTAACTTGAAAATATTGATGCAAACTGTTGCGTTGATTTTTTTTGTTTGGTCTAAGCAATATTTTTTAGAGTAGTCCAAATATCTACAAATTCCTAAATCAAGAAGCATTTTCTAGACAAGCAATGATTATTGCCTTGTTTTAAGAAATAATATGTCAAAATCAAGTGAGTTTTTCCTTAAAACAAGCAAAATAATCTGTATTATCTTGTTTTTCCTTTTGACATAATGTTATTTTGCTTACCCCATTGCTTGTTTTAAGGAAGAACTCACTTGATTTTGACACATTATTTCTTAAAACAAGAAAATATTTATTGCTTTTCTAGAAACTGCTTCTTGATTTTGACTTTTTAGATGTTTCGACTAGAAACAAGAGGAAAGCTGTAAGAAAAGTATTTTAGCAGCGTTACCATTGAACATACATGTATACAGTATTTTAAAGAATTTTTAAGAAAAAATGACAATAAAAGTCGATGTATGTCTTCTTTTGTATTCAACTTTTTGAATTCACAATTTTGTTTGTCGGTACATAATTGAAAGTGTTTTTGCTGATTCTTTGTAATTTGTTGATAAATTTAATCATAAGGATAACTACCCAGTCATTTAATATGTCAAAAAAATCTGTCATTTTTTTACTCTACTAATATTCTAATATACTTATTTTGTGTGAAGTATATGGACAAACCCAACTGTTGTGTGTTAAATTTCTAAAATTAATTTTCAACCCAAAGGTTTGGTTTGTTTATACATATTTTTAGTATTTTGGTATTATTACACACGCACACATGCATATATATATATATATATATATATATATATATATATATATATATATATATATATATATATATATATATTAATGGTGAGCCGTTAACGTGCTGACTTCCAAAAAATATGATCCATGATTACCATTTTAATATACAATAAAAGACAAAAGTTACCTTATTTTTGAGGTAATATGATATTAAATATGAAATATTAAATGTGTCTATGGCCAAGTTCATCCAAACCTAATATTCATCCAATATAGGACAAATAAGATTCATCAAAAACACTTGTCTGTCTGTGACAGTCAGTTGTTTGTTATTCATTACACGATCTGTTTACTAGAGGACCTTTTCACACTGTTTTGTTCTCTGAGCCAGGAATAATCAGTACATTTGTGGAAATAGCCAAATATACATCATATGGGTCCAAATGACATATTTTTATTTTTGTTAAAGATGATTAGGTTATTAAGTTAAGATCCTGTTTCATGAAGATACTTTTTAAAATTGTAAATGTCAAAACATTGCTAAGAGCTTAATTTAGACAACTTTAAAGGCGATTTTCCCAGTATCTATATATATTGTATGTCCCCTCAGATTTTCAAAATCTATATCTCAACCAAATATTATCCAAAAATATTGTACTAGTATTGTCCTAACAAATCATACATTAATAGAAAGATTATTTATTCAACCTTCACAATGTTTAAATCCAATATTTCCACAAATATGGTCCATGATCACCATTTTATATGCAATACAAGACTAAAGTCACCTTATTTTTAAGGTATTATGATATGAAAGGTCAATTGTAAGTTCATCCAAACCTGATATTCATCCAATATAGGACAAATAAGATTGATCAAAAACACTTGTCTATCTGTTACAGTCAGTTTTTGTGTTTCATCACACGATGTTTACTACAGGAATTTTTCACACTGTTTTGTTCTCTGAGCCAGGAATAATCAGTACATTTGTGGAAATAGCCAAAGATACATCATAAAAACTTAATTTAGACAACTTTAAAGACGATTTCCCAGTATTCATATATGTTTTGTTCCCGTAGATTTTCAAAAACTCAACCAAATATTATACAAAAATATTATACTATTGTCCTAACAAATCATACATTAATAGAAAGATTATTTATCCAGCATTCAGAATGTTTAAATCCAATATTTCCAAAAATATGATCCATGATCGCCATTTTAATATGCAATAAAAGACTAACGTCACCTTATTTTTAAGGTATTATGATATGAAAATCAAATCGTTCATCTAAACTTAATATTCATCCAAATTTAGGAAAAAAAAGTTTATCAAAAATACTGTCTGTCCCCCTGCACAGGCAGTCAGTTATCTGTGATTCATCGCACGTTCTGTTTACTAGAGGAAATTTTCACACTGTTTTGTTCTCTGAGCCAGGAATAATCTGTAAATGCGTGTGCACATTTCACCGGATGCTGATGGCCTGTTTTCGAGGTTGTGACATGGTGTGTGTGTGTCACTGCTGGCCTTGAGATATACAGACAGAGATTTCTCACACTCATTCACATCTATTACAAAGCTTAAATGCAGCCTCGTAAGCTAAGAACATCATCTGCAAGAGGATTGTCCAGGCAAATCCATGAAGTTGAACGGTGTCAATGCAAACATATTTAGCCCCGTGCTGAACTTCTTAACAGCTTGTTTCAGCGACTGAAGCTGACAGAGACTTTATATCACACAATTCTGACTTTTATTCCTTGTTTTGTTGAGTTCACATCTTGACTTCTTTCCCAAAATTCTCAGGAAAATATTTGAAGCTGTACTTCACTCAATTAAAAATGCATCTTTCATTACAGTTTAATGTTATTTGTTTTATTTTTCAAGTTATATATTTTAAGTTTAAATATAAGTTTAAATTAAATATAAATGATTTTGATTTAGAGCTCTACTAAGAAATATAATATAAAATGTAACTCACACAGGCATGTGTTATATTAGTTAAAATAGACAGTTTGTTTTCTTATAAACTTTATCTGTGTTCATGTTTGAGTTGTCTTCTGTGATTTATGTCCAAAATTACATTTTTTTTTATAAAATATTGGCCATCACCATCAACGAGGGAAGTGTGTAAAGAAAGCACCCCGTTTAGGGCTGTTCCAGCCTGATCTCACGAGAAAACGTAAATATTTTAAGTATTTTAAGTTTTGCCAGTTTAGTGGCTAATTCGTAAGAATTTGTACGAGTGCAGTCATATGAAAATATACGATTTTAAAAAGGAGGCGTGGCACCTAACCCCAACCGTCATTGGGTGATGAGCAAATCGTACTAAATTGTACGAATTAGATCATTCGAATTCATACGAATTAGCCACTAAATCAAAATGTTACGAGTTGCCATGAGATTGTGTTGGCTGTTTATGTTTTGAGCTCAGAATTAAAAGGTCGACTGACAGTGCTGCCTCCTGCCTGCTTATTTTGCCAGATTGCTGACACTCAGGGTTGTGCGGTGTATGGGAGTGTTCTCCTTGCTAACATGCTGTTAAGCGTAAAGTTATGCGTCATACATACTAGCACCCTGCTAGATTAATTAAACAGTTTAGTTATGTTATACTGTAGCTCCAGTTGCCCAAGTACAGCAGTCATTACAATATGCTTTGTACTTTCGTGGACTTAAAAAAAATGGTTCAAGGCAAATTATTTATTTTAAATTGATGTAAGTAAAGAAATTTAGCCTATTTTTTATTGGATGAATGAACATTTTATGGCAATTGTTGTTTTGATTAAAGCTACATCTTCTTGTTTAGAACAAAAGGAGAGTTTAAGTTACTTGACTTTCTTTAACAAGACAAATATGCTTTGTACAAGGTAATATAAAATTGTTCTCATGATAGAAAATATTGTTTTTAGGCAAAATATCTATTTTTTATTGGGTCAAGTGATAAAATTTAGATGTGAACCATTACCCTCATTTTTTTACTAGATAAAGCTTATTTGTATAAACTCACAATCACAATAATGCAGAATTATGACACATAAACAATATAATTAGATAATTTGGACCTCAAAATTTAATATTTTTTAAAAGACTTTTTAAAGATGCACTCAGTATTTACTCTCCCTCAAGTGGTTTCAAACCTTTACAAATGTCTTTGTTCTGCTGAACATAAAAGAAGATACAGTGGGGGAAATAAGTACTGAACATGTCATGTTTTTCCAGGGAATAATATGACATGGACTTGAACCAGATTTTGGTTAAAAATCCAAACATTAAAACAAAACAAACACAGACAAATATGTAATAACATTGAAATGACACAAAAAAGTACTGAACTACTAAAATGTATTTGATACTTTATATAATATTCTTGGTGACGGCAGGTTAAATACTCCTCTCATATAGAGAATGAAGTCACATGCATTGCTCAGGTGTGAGTTTTTTCAACAGAGTGTAAAAATCTTGATGGTTCTGTGGGTCTTGTCCACCAAATCTGATCTTTATTTTGTAATTTCTATTGGATTCAAGTCAGGTGATTGACTTGATTTACTTTCTCTGAAAGCATTTGAGAGTCTCTTTGGCTGTGTATTGGATCATTGTCTTGCTGAAATGTCCACCCTGGTTTCATCCTCATCATCCTGCTAATGTAGATATTGGACTGAAGCAGCTAATATTCATTTACAATGAAGAAGGGCAGAGGATTGCTGAATAACTACTGAGAGATTTCAGCTGCAGTCTGGGCTTTCACTGCTTTTCTACACTTTCCTTTTTTCATGTGTTCAATACTTTTCCCCTGTGTCATTTCATTTTGTTACACATAACTTAATCTGTAAACAAATTAAATTTGTTTTCTTTGTACATATGGATTTCTTTGTGTGTTTCCAACATC